GAAAATTTGCAGGTTCAATTCCATAAATGTCCTTAAATGACTGGACTACACTAGTTTAGAGTTAACTTTAGAGAAACTCATAAATCATTATTATCTAAAATTAAGCTGTCAGTGTCCATGATCAACCTATGGCTACAATGTTTTACATGAAAATTGAAATGTAAAAATCAGGAGTAATATAATAAGTGTATTTCTAGATTAAAGTGCTATCTCATAGTTTAAGAATTGTATAGATTAACGTATGTCGTTTAGCCATCTAAGAATCGATCGTGCCGCAATATATATGGCCAAAGAATAATAGGGTCTTGGAAATTCTATATTTGTTCAGTGGGTCGATTGACTGAACACGTTTGCACTTGGTATTTAATTTTACCAGTAGTTTATTTATGTTATGTACCTACCGATGATCATACAAGTAGGACGATAACTAGGTAAGTCACATTCAAAACACACCGCTCACCGTACACTCCAATCAGTATTACGTATACCGGGTATTTTTCAGTTCCCACGGCACCGTTCTGATAGGAGCTACTTCTACTAATGGTCCGATGGGAACGGCCGTAAAATAGCCAGACTTCATGTCTCCTGTACTGTCTGGCACGTGTGGATTAAAGTAAGAAATTTCGCTATGCTAGAAATATAATTGCTCTCGGAACTATGTCTTTTAGGATAGCGAACCATTTGACTGCTCGCATTCTTCCGAACAACTGTAATATTATATTACAGAGTTACACTCTGATCAGCTATATTTAATATATAGCACATTATTTTGTGTATTAGTTTCATGGACTGGGGAAAAATAATCGGTACAGTCTCCCTTCGTTTTAATGAAGCAATGAAAACAATCCAAAATTATCACATATGACATAACTTGTAATAGCAGAAACTTTCTAACCGTACATTCACCCGCCACTGTTCAAGAACTTATGTCACTGTTTAAAATCCTGACGTGAGCACTGTACATCCAATCAGCTATTCATATAGTTAGGGTGATAGCCAAAACTATAAGGATTTTGGAGAACTAGGGAAATAGTCATAACTCTAAAATTTGAGTGAGTTACACGTGTTTTATTGACGATGATAAACATTTGTGCATTGTATTACGCTATGCCAGCGCGCACTGAGGGACTTTATGACGTCACGCGGCCACAGCTTATTATTGCAATAACACGCGTTACACGTAAGCTAGAGAGTTGGTTCTTTCGGCGATACAATTTTTTACGAGTTTGTCACAGCTGATTTAAATCTTAGCCAAATTGGAGACTACAAATTTTTCAGTTAACTGGTCCTTTAAGTCAAGTCAAGTCATTTTCTTTATTTGTCATATGAATCTTTGACTTTAACGATCATTCCAAGTGTTATAAAGCATGAAACATTTCTCTTATTCAAGTACTAATAATATTTGCGAATTTAAAGTCATCCTAAAGGTCAAATATGAAGACCTAAATTCATGGCATAAATTGGCATAAATGGAGAATTGGCCTAACAAAATTTCCATTTATGCCATGAAATTTCTATGCCATTTGATGAATTTTATGCCATTTGTCTCCATTCTATGCCATTGGTACCCCCCCTCCAGTGTTACCTGCTGCTAAACAGTACTTCCTTTATCCTTTTGAGTGTTGTTGCTTTTAGATATCCGTTTATAAATATTATGATTTGCAGTTAAAGCTAGAACACTATATCGTAGTGTGGGACCAGCTAGCCAGCTGCAGCCCCCCCCCCCCCCCCCCCCCCCCCCGGCCCCCTCCGTACGTGGTTACCCCTCCCAGGTGTTGAGTGTTTGTCTGACGTGTAAGAGTCCTCACAGTTCCTCTACAACAGACCTTCTCTCCCGGACCACCAAGAAGTTCTACAACACCTTTACGCTACAGGTGGGTACCATTTGAGTGTTGTTTTTTCAAGATAGGTACAACTCTGCGGTTCAAACATTTTAAATATGGCTACATTTTATTGTAATATTTAAACTACGTTCTTTATCTTGCTTGTCCTACAAACTTGCAACTAACACCTCTCTTTGTGACAGATAAAGCGAGAGTCATCACACAATAACGGTATCCTAAAATCACTGGAGAAGCTGGCCAAGTTAGTTGGAACTTCCACTAACCAAAAACTCTACAGTTTCCTCATCTACTTAGAACAACCTCTATCGGAAAATATCGGTAAATTCAAAACCGATATGGGGCTTAATGGAACGAATAATAGTTGATTTATTTTAATTTATAATAATTTTATTTCCAACTGAAACACCCGTACTTGGTAGAGACGTGTAAGTTTTCGTCCATGTAGACACAACTATTCGCAACATTTGGAATCCCCTCAGGCACAGCTCAGAACGCTGCCACAATACGCAAACAAGCTGTCAGTGTCCCCGGACTAATATACGCTGTTGAGCAGTGCGAAAGAAACCTCATCATACTCAGCAAGAAAACTAAAGTAGGTTTTAAGTTATTCGCTTCATTCAATCGTAAATTTTAATCTCTCAAAGTTAAAACGTCCTCTTTAATTCATTATAATTACATTGAATGATTTTCAGACAGATTTGATGGAACACTTCAAAAGGAGCCCTGCCCGAGATTTCAAAGTAAACATGAAAGTTCTCGAAGAAAAATTTACAAAGGTTTCATTATTATTACTGTCACCAAGATGTAACTAGGTCGAACGGAGAATTAGGTCTCACGCAGGAATTAGGTCTCACGCAGGCGCGTGATATATAAATACACTTAAAAGCCGCGCCTACTTGAGAACTAATTCCTGCGTGAGGCCTAATTTTTCCGTTCGACCTAGTTACATCTTGGTGACAATACAAGTTGATTTTCATTTACAGTTTAGACGGAAGATATACTACAATTATTCGTTCAATAATTTTGAATTAACTCCATCACCGACGCGACGACCGTCCATCAAGGGAAAAATGTTTTTAATTTTCTGATCATCTATTTAGGTGGAGGAAGATGGGGAGGACACGGAGAAGCCCAAGAAGAAACGAAAAAGAGGAAAGAACAAGGAGAACGATGATTGAGGAGCTACCAAACAACTGTATTCTATTGTAGCAGCATTGGAAATTAATCCAACATGAAGATCATCGTTCACCCTCAGAATTGCGGGTTCACAGTTCAGCGAGCCTGGACTTAGGACTAGTGCATATTTAACAAATAAAACAGATTATTGTCGTTACAATTGTGTGCAGACACTGAAACCAAGCTCCAGGATATGATACTGACGGCATAGCAGATTTTTAACTAGGTTCTACTTACTTTAGATGATTATCATAATTATAATTATGACTAAGATTGATATGATACATAATGTAACCTTAGATCAATGATCGTCTTCCATTTAGATTTAACTATTACAAGATGGGAGTAATAAGAATTATTTAGATCGTGTTACATATTAGTGACGTTGGCAGTTGGAGTTTGGCCGCTCGAATTGGGGGGGATGCAACGTCAATTAATGTCAGTATTCCATAAAAACCCCAAACTGACATTGACATTAATTGACATTAATTGACATTAATTGACATTAATTGACATTATTTGACATTAATTGACATTATTTGACATTAATTGACATTAATTTGTCTTGAAATTTGAGATTATCATTATTCGATAAATATTCAAGATATTCACGTCTATGTAAGTTAGACCGGTTCAAAAAAACAAAATGTCCTTGCATAATTATGAGTATGTTCTTATCTGTTGATCCTTAGGTTCAAAGACCACCAAAAAAATTTCAGCTTCCAACTCTTCCATCTTCGGTCCCCACCGGCCACGCCCATATTTTATTGGTTTCTTATACAGGTAAAATATCTAGAATCGGCTTTTTTAGTATGAAGGAGTAATGTTAGCTGTTTAAGATTCGTTATTCAAATATAAATGTCATGAAGGTATTTCGTTTAATGTGGGTTTTAAGTTCTGATGATGTTGAGAACCACGCCCATTTAAGAAAATTAAATTTTGGAAAACCGTATTATTTTAGGTTTATTGTTTAGTGATCTGAATTTTTTCACATTTCACATTTCCATATGTGATAGTAGTGAATAAATTGATGATATAAACGTTCTAAAGTGCTAAAAATATGGTAGAACTACATAATCTCTGGTCGAAAAATATCGTGTCAATTAATGTCAGTATTCCAAAATTTTGCAAAACTGACATTGACATTAATTGACATTAATTGACATTAATTGACATTAATTGACGTTGCATCCCCCCCCCCCCTCGAATTTTTAGTGATTTAATAAACTGAAGCCATATTTGTTTTATGTAGTATGATTTAAAATGAACATCAGGTAGATCATCTCTGACCGACGAACAATTAACTTTCAGAAAATATTTTATTTTGGGAATGCGGAATAAATAATGTTTTGGGGCCATTTGAATTTTTACTAAATTTTACCTACCAACTCAAACTCAATGTTTTATCTTGCTGCGCTCGTGTCATTTTCGCAGCTCCAATGTCAATTTATGTCACTAATACACGATAGAAGGCACACAATAGTTTGGTCAGTGACGGCTGCCCTTCAGTTTTGAGCTCTTAAATTTGCCCAGCTAGAGTCAGTAGACAGATGGATTCACCAACTGAGCCACAAGGATAATATTAGTTTCAATATTGTAAAAGAAACATTAAATTATTCTCACAAACATTACATTTTATTTACAAACATTGGTATAGAAATCCATGAACTAGGTGGCTCTCTCCGGGGGGGGGGGGGTAATGACTACTTTTGGGGACTTGGGGAATTACGTCAACGATTTTACCCCGAGTCCCCATGATTTTTAGTCCCCAAAAGTCTCCATTAGTCCCCATTTAGATGATTTTTAGTCCCCAAAAGTCTCCATTAGTCCCCATTTAGATTTATCCTACTCTTATCTTGGACAAAACATCTCGATCGTATCGTTATTAAACTAACTTGAAAACCATAAATAACTGTCAAAAATTCTGGGGACAAATGGTGAATTACGTCAACGAGTTGACTTCCTCACTGAAACTTATTTAGAATGTCTTCCTACGTCGAACAAATAGGTTTTTATAATTTTGAACTTTTTATTTTCTATCCTTAAAAATATTTACTTCATACTTAAATACTTAATTCGTGATTAAACAGAGTCAGAGAAAACTTTTGCAACGAGTCTATCATGCACTTTTTATGCAGTGTTGAGGCCGATGGTAATCTTCCTTAGAAGAGTCGGTTAAATTTTATCGCACATTTAAATTTAATTATACATTGTATGTTAATGTATATACATATTGGCATATTTGACAGAAGAGGCCGCTGAGCAGCTGTTGGAGGAAATGAGGACGGAGAAAGAGAAGGAGAAGAAGAAGAAAGAGAACTATCCTGTAATAAGGCTTCTTGCTAGAAATTTAGTCGACTTGGTCTACATCAAAGAGAAAGGTTTTTATCGAACTTTTAAATTCCTATTACCTACAATCAGCACGTTATGACCGAACCTATCATCAAACCTATGAACTGCTTCACATCTACACGTGCGTCGTGCAGTAATCGACCGGGATTCCCGGCACCGGGGGAGCTATTTTTTCCCGGCCCCGGCCGATTTTCAATTTTGGCCGGGAATTTTTGATCGAAATCGGCCATATAAATCTTAAAATGGATTTTCAATTTTGAAAGGATGATGTCCAGAGTGCCAACTTTTAAGAGCAGTCCTTTGTTTTTGTAACCTCTGATAGTTTTTACAATTACGATATTCCACCTAAATCCTTAAATCTTAATAATTTATTAAATTCACGGCCCCGGCCAAATTCCAGAACGGCCAATTCCCAGCCCCGGCAAAATTTGGACATTCCCGGCCCCGGCCAAATCCTACCCCCGGTCGTTTACTGGCGTCGTGCAGTGTTTGATTTAGTAACTTAACAAATTCAATTAAATATACATAAAATGTTTTCATGATCACAGGACAAAGTATGAGCGAATCAATGTTTTTCATTTAATTCGCAATTCAGATCCACTACAGAGAGATTTACTGTTGATGAAGATTATGTTGAAGCACGGAGAAGAAATACAGGCACTAAGGTTGAATATTCTTCTTCCAAGCACAATCTCCGTACCTCCGTATAAATGTAGAATTTTCAAATGTCAGATTTTAGATTTGAATTTGTCTTCATTGCTTTTTAAATTTAAGTAAACCAAATTAAAACCCAGTGAAAAGAGGCAGAAAGAGGCAGAGGAGGCGCAAAATAGAAGGGTGCCACGGGTAAGTCCGGTCTTTGTCATATTTTAATAATCCTTGTGAAATGTATTTTTAAAAATGCAATCTTGATTTTTTGTCTCCCAGTCCCAGTTGTTCCACAATTAATTTCATATTATACTTGAAAAGGTGTGGTATTGACAATGATACCATTCCTTAATATTTCAGATCAAACAATTGCTATATCTGTATATGTATATTTGTATATTGGATAAATTTTCATGTTGTCATCGTAAATATACAAAATTCTAAGCTGATGTCTGATTTATAATAATATATAGTAATACGCTACCCTCTAGAACTCAAATGGGTCACATGACGTAGACAATGAGTCCCAAGCATCGACATCCCAGCTGTCTGACACAGCACTTCACCAACAAAAAATTGATAAACTTGTTGAGGAGAAGGCAGAACTTCTTGAGGAGAAGGCAGAACTGTTGAGGACAAGGGACAAGCGGAATTCTAACATCCAACAACTCAAAGGTAATTATGCTTTTAGTCACTCGATTGATGATTTGTCTGTCAAAGCATAACACATTGTAAATTAACCCAAACGTCCAAAAGTAATTTACAAGTGACACTTTTTAATAACACTTTGATTCGGGCTTCAGATGAGGTGTCGGTTTTGAGATCTAAGCTTCACTCCTCGAATTCTGATCCGTCTTCAGAGCACAACAACACCGTACCCGTAAGTTTTATTTAAATTTGATTTAATTCTGAGCAATCTTTTAGGGGTTTGGTACCAATGGTAGTTCAACACAGTTACCATGGTTACTATGCAACTTGAAAGTAAACATGAAAGTTCTCGAAGAAAAATTAACAAAGGTTCATTATTATTAAAGTTGATTTCATTTACAGTTTAGACGGAAGATATACTACAATTATTCGTTCAATAATTTTGAATTAACTCCATCACCGACGACCGTCCATCATGTGAAAACTGTTCTTAATTTGCTGATCATCTATTTAGGTGGAGGAAGACGGGGCGGACACGGAGCAGCCCAAGAAGAAACTAAAAAGAGGAAAGAACAAGGAGAACGATGATTGAGGAGCTACCACTGTATTCTATTGTAGCAGCATTGGAAATTAATCTAACATGAAGATCATCGTTCACCCTCAGAATTGCGGGTTCAGCGAGCCTGGACTTAGGACTAGTGCATATTTAACAAATGAAACAGATTATTGTCGTTACAATTGTGGGCAGACACTGAAACCAAGCTCCAGGGTACAATTATAATACTGAAGGCATAGCAGATTTTTAACTAGGTTCTACTTACTTTAGACGATTATCATAATTATAATTATGACTAAGATTGATATGATACATAATGTAACCTTTGATCAATGATCGTCTTCCATTTAGATTTAACTATTACAAGATGGGAGTAATAAGAATTATTTAGATCGTGTTACAAATTAGTGATGAACTGGAGTTTGGCCGCTCGAATTTTTAATGATTTAATAAACTGAAGTCTGAAGTCATATTCGTTTTATGTAGTATGATTTAAAATTAACATCAGGTAGAACATCTCTGACCGACGAACAATTAACTTTCAGACAATATTTTATTTTGGGGATGCGGAATAAATAATGTTTTGATGCCATTTGAATTTTTACTATTTTTACCCACCAACTCAAAGTCAATGTTTTATTTTGCTGCGCTCGTGTCATTTTCGCAGCTCCAACGTCAATTTAAGTCACTAATGCATAATAGGAGGCACAATAGTTTGGTCAGTGACGGCTGTTTTGAGCTCTTTTATTAGCCCAACTAGAGTCAGTAAACAGATGGGTTCACCAACTGATCCACTTGTCATACGAGTGCGCGGCTCCCCCTGTATCGTAGAAACTCTACAGGGGTTATATCACTATAGTGAAGCGACAGTGGGGGTCACTACGTGATACAATGATCCACAAGGATAATGGTACAAAATCATACTCCAAATTGTGTGCATTACATTCACCTAGCCATGGGCCTGCACTTCGCGTACTACATACACATAACATACTACGCGTATAGTACTACATACACATAACATTAACATACTACGTGGCGCGCTTGTTTTACAAGCCGGTTCATGGTTGAGCAACTTTTAAGGCCAACTGCAACTAGTATGTTGTTTTCCGGCGACGTCATATTGCATGTTCCACCCGAGCGTGCTAAATCACTTTACAGTCGATCTTCGAGATTGTTCTAAAAGGGCCCCCAACGGTTGTAACTTGTCATAGGTTGTATGACCCGCCGCGCACGAGTGCGCGGCTCCCCCTGTATCGCCGAAACTTCACTATAGTGAAGCGACCGTGGGGGTCACCACGTGATACAAGTTGTAACCAACTTCAATCGATGTATTTTCGGACGCTGATTCCGAATCACCCCCACAGGATTAAATTTAAACTGCTCCCCTGACGAGATATTGGCGAAAAACTGTCTCGATCACTTGATATGACCGTATAAGGAAGTTAGTCTAATTTCTCGTTAGGGTTAGGGTTCCAGCATATATTTTTGTTAAGGATAGGGTTAGGGTTGGGATCAGACTAGAGGGTTAGGGTTTCGAAAAGTCGTTCAGAACCAGCTAGAGAACGGGTTGAAAAAGTCACGTGACAGTCGAGTGTAGAGTGATTAATCATCATCCTGTTCCACCTCCGTTATATCCGGCCACTCATTAGTATTACTGTACCATCTACAATCTTACTAATCCAATATCTCATCTGTTTTAAAGCCATTGTACACTGTGCTTATCTATTTTGTACTTATAGTTATCCGAGCGTGCTAATCACTGTACACTCGATTTTCGGGATTTTTCTAAAAAGGTACCATACCTGAAAGTTGAAATTGAAACCAGCTTGATGTATTTTCGGACGCTGATTCCGAATCAGCCTCCATGACATAGGCCTAGTATAGAGTTATAAAAGTAAAATGCTCCCCTGGCATGAAGATATTAGCGAAAAACTATTTCGATATGACCGTTTCATTCACGGTGGCAATCCTTCTCAGCTCTGCGTCATCGCTCCTACTAAATCGCTCGCCCAAATTTTAAGAAAATTCTTGTGAAAAGGCCATCTAGGCGTGAAAGTGATCTAGATCGGTGTATTTTTGGACGCTGATTCCGAATCACCCCCCATGACGTAGGGTTAAAATGATTCCCTGGAGAGTTATGGGCAAAAAACCGTTTTGGTCACATGACAGGCTAGTAAAACGTGAATTCGATTATTTAGGGCTCGGGTTAGGGTTAGGGTTGTGGTTAAGATTATGGATAGCTTCGGGGTTATGGTTAGGGTTAGGGTTGGGATTAGGGTTTATGTAAAACCGTTTTGTACGGCTGCAAAACCAAATAAACCAAAGTCACGTGAAATTTTTGGGCGAGCGATTTGCGTGGCCCAGTGGTGTTCACATAGCCATGTGTATACGCGTATTGCGTGTCGCGCGCTTCTGCAAGCGAGAGGGCTCTGGTTAGAGCAACCAGTGGTGCACCTCGCCGATCTAACGAGAAACATTATTTGCGGCGTGGCCCAGTACTAGTAGTGCATCGCGCTACAATATGATCGTATAAGGAAGTTGGTATAGTTTCTCGTTAGGGTTTCAGTATATTAATATGCTTTTGTTAGAATTATGGTTGGGATCATATTAGTTGTCATACGTTGTATGACCCGCCGCGCACGAGTGCACGGCTCCCCCTGTAATTGTATCGTAGAAACTCTACTAGTACTACTATAGTGAAACGGCGATGGGGGTCACGACGTGATACAACATTTTAGAGGGTCAGGGTTTCGGTTTCTAATAGTCGTTCAGGGCCAGCTTGAGAACGGGTTAAAAAAGTCAGGTGACAGTCAAGTGTAGTGTGACTGTGTAGGGTGATTAACAATCATTCCAATTTGATTTTATCGCCATCGGCCATCGGGCCGTGTGTTAATAATAATATGTATGATGTAATAACTTTGCAGTAATTTGTAATGGCAGCACTAATTCACTGTTGAATTCTTAAAACAAAGGTTATCGGATATTCACGTTCACTAATAAAATAAACTTCGAACTTTTATAATTGATACTATTAATATTTTGTAACCGCGTCCGAATGAAGCCAAGTCATAATATGTAATAATAATAAATAAACCTTAGGCTTAACAATTATAAAGTGGATTTCGGTCTGCATATTTAATTATTAAAAAAAAAAATTAAATATGCAGACCGAAATCCAGACCTTTATCGTCCTGACGATACAGAGGGAGCCGCGCACTTCGTGCGCGGCGGTTTTTTTTGCGATTATTTTTTAAAAAAATAATCGCAATGATAACCGATTTGCGATTCGACTGTTACTCATACTGTCACGAACATGTAACAAGGGCGGACCGATCTAAAATGTAATACTAATATAGGTATTCGTATATGGTATATAATTATATGATAGGACGAACGCGATTGTCATACGTTGTATGACCCGCCGCGCACGAAGTGCGCGGCTCCCCCTGTATCGTCAGGACGATAAAGGTGATATGAAACGACCGTGGGTGTCACAACCTGATACAAGAACGCGACGGGACATAACATGTCCAAAACCTATGTTTTAGGTGCTCTATTTGTAGCTAGTAGTAGTGGTCTCCTGAATTCGTATATGAATTTTCATCCAGATTAGACTAAAAATGACTGAGTTATGAGCCAAAACCTATATGCCCATATTTGGGCATGTGATAGATTTTGGCCCATAAATTGGTCAAATATCAATATGAATGAGACTAACGTTACATGATGATGAAAGGTAAGCATAAACTACATATTCTCTTGAGTTAAAAAGATATGCTTTACATCATGGATATGAAATTAGGTCGGACAGACCTAATTACAATTACATGTACGTGACAGTTACAAATTCGACATTCTGCTCATCGTTTGGGCTCACGTTTTACGTTGTACTGTTGTACTTATTAAAGTTGAGATGTAATATCAGGAGCATGACTTTAGACCATTTAACATTGTTTAAGGACAATGGATGCCCGAAAATAACGGCACTACGGCACAGTCAGTAGTTAGCTTACCGTGTGGTATTAACAATGAACACGTTATTGAGAAAGATTAAGAACTACTAGTTCGTAGTTGTGAAGGCTTACATATAATATCTCAAGAGTCTAGCCTACAAGCCGTGTGTACAGTTTGCATCATTTGTATACATTTAGTGTCGAGTGTAACGTTTGCTGTGCAGTTAACGATCAGTACCAGTCTAGTAGTAGTTGTGTTAAATTTTAAATCTAATATTAGTAAATATCAGATTTAACTCTCGCTCCAAATTATTGCTTCAAATTAAAAACCATCGTTCACACTCACAGTATGCCCGCATACTGAGATATTCGTTTTTGGGGAATAAACTTAAGTTTTAGTCCCCGTTTAATGTATTAATTCTGCATGCAAAGTTCGAAGAAAGTCTTACACTCACTCCCAGAAAAGGAAACAAAGACAATGTGACTGTTACTACGGTTACTAGGTTACTACGGTTACTAAGTTACTAGGTGACGGGATGACCCCATGTCGTCGGTAGGAGACTCCCTGCCCGACTACGAGAAGGTTGGCCAGCTCGGGGAACCTCCAGAGTACCAGAACACTTCTTCAGCAGCCCGGCACCGCACTAAACATGACAGAAACTTGCCCGTGTTCGAGGATGATGACTTGCCCCCCACTTACGAGTCTCTATTTGGGCAGATCAAGGAGGAGTGGCTGACTGCTGAGAACTTCTCAGATTTCTTACGAAAAGCTGGTAAATGTGCAAATGTGCTTGATTAATAGATAAATCTGATGACATGTTTAAACTACAGTACCATCCAGAATAAAATCTGTCTCACAGCTTACTATTCACAACCTGTGCCGAAGTAATTAACACTGCTCAGGTGGAATTCTGATAGCCTCCCTGGCATGCACCCTTGTGTTACTCTTCCTACTCATTCTACCTGTAGCTTACATTGTTATCGGAGCTGCATACCTCGACAAGTGCCCCATCAACAGGTAAAATGCCAAACATCTTAACTATCAAGTGCACCAACACTTATTCAAACGTGGTGATAAACACTTTTATCAAAAGACACGATGTATATCTGATATCAATTCTACGTCTGGCGTCTTAAACCATTTAAAAAGATTAGATCTTAAATTCAGTAGACTATATTATATGGTAACTACAAACTTGTACAAGCCCTAATTTCAGAATGATTCCAATATACCTAATAGTGGCGGGAGTTCTAGGACTACTCCAAAATGGACTGATGTTACTGAGGAAACAAGTGCCTAATAACGTAAGCGCAGTTATTCTTTAATCTTTAATCGTTAAATTAAACTAATTCGGACCTTTAGTTTTACCGATAGTTTAAATTCAAAATTTTGATCTACAGCGAGCGTCCAGTTAGCGAAAATTAGCAATAATGCCAATTCAAATTGTCGTGCTGCGTGCACCCTTTCAAATTCAATGTCGCTAAATAGCGCTAGATGACGCTATCTAGCGTCATTTAATTTAAACGCTACATTTCGGTGCAAATACTAATACATAATAGCGCTAGCTGTCGCCTGGCGATAGTCGCGTAACTAGCGTTAAATGACGCTGAATAGCGTCGCGTCATCTTGATCTAGCGACATTGAAAGGGTGCACGAGAATTGGCAGCATTGTCGCTAACTGGCGGAATCTAGCGTCATTTCACGCTAGATGACGAATTTCAACTATCGATAACTAGGTCTCTTAATTCTGGTAATAATAAATCTAAGTAAGTTAAGTCTGGTGATCTATAGTTCATAGTTAGATAAATGTTTTGTTAGATAAATATTTGATCACAAAATAGCCACAATAACACTACGCGTATACTTTCAGCAAGCATTTAGTTTAGCTTACAGAGGGTACGAGTTATTTTTAGCTGTCGTATCTTTTGTCTGGTTCATTCTGGGTACGATCTGGGTCTACAGCGTATTTAAAAATGTGAGTGTAAACCAATGGAGACATCTTTAACACGATTACAGATTATTTAATTTTAACCCTTGAAGTGGATTCCAACAACTTGATGCCGCATTAAAACATTTGCTTGAAGAATATTTAAACTTGAAGTAGGATGTGATATCTCGGT